CAGCTGCCTCTTGCACACCCCCTACTGGGGATATGCCCGCAACTAAGGTACATGCCTTTGACCAGAATCGAACCCGGGACCTTTCGTCCCCAAGCCGACGCTCTAACCATTGAGCCAAACCGGTCCCGGCTGCATCTCTAACATTTAATAGCATACACATATTATCACTTCAAAAGTTGTTTTTTTAATTATAACTTCTTTAAATAAAATAAAGAGTATTTTGATCAATCTAAAAATGCACACATTTTCCAAGTTAAGTTCAAATCATTATTTAAGCCTCTACTGACCTCTGTAGGAAAAAGTGTGTTACTGGAACCCCAACCAACTGGATAAAATTGTGGATCATTATTGAGTTAACAAACTGTAGTAAATCTATACTAGTATGCAATGATGTGTAACACTTCCCCTTAATCAAGAGTGGGTTTGTGATGAAGAACATTACCTTTAAAGAAAATCTCTAACTTGATCATTAGAGAAAGGAAAACTAAGAAATCACTGACAACTCAAGTCTCTGCTCCTCTGCTCCAAACTAATTTATTTTCTTCCACAATAACAAATACTGAAATATAGTTCAGAGAGAGAAACAATTCTAAATAGTTAATAAATACACAAAATACCACCAACTTTCATCTGATCAGCTAATAAATGACTTTCACTTAAACACTAAAAATCATCACATTGGTTTTAAGAAATAATCACCTTGCTCAGCAGTTCTCAAAGTGTGATCCAAAGACTCCTGGGGGTCCTCTCCCTTTTCCAACTACTTATTGTGCTAGGCTAGGTTTTCTCATATACTTCAATCAAGAAAAGGTACAAGCATACCTTGTATATATTGCAGATTTGGTTCCAAACCACCACAATAAAGAAAGTATCACAATAAAGCAAGCTGTAATTTTTTGCTGATGGAGGGTCTTGCCTTTAATTTGTTAAAAAAAAAAAAAAAAAAGACAAACTAACATTCAACACCCATGAAGCACAATAAAGGGATGTGCAATAAAACGAGGTATGCCTGTATCATAACAGATTGAATTTATTAATAGAAACAGATGAAAATCTAGCTGTCGCCAGGACCGGTTTGGCTCAGTGGATAGAGCGTCGGCTTGGGGACTGAAGGGTCCCAGGTTCGATTCCGGCCAAGGGCATGTACCTTGGTTGCGGGCATATCCCCAGTAGGGGGTGTGCAAGAGGCAGCTGATCGATGACTCTCTCTCATCGATGTTTCTAACTCCCTCTCTCTTTCCCTTCCTCTCTGTGTAAAATCAATAAAATATATTTTTTTTAAAAAAAAAGAAAATCTAGCTGTCTTCTATTAAGCCAAACATGAAAGATATTGCAAAAATGTAAAACAACATCATGTTCACACTAACTTTCCTTTTGTTTAGGAAAATATATTTTTCATAAAAATGTAAACATGTAATGAATTTATTATTTTAACATTAATAAATATTTAGCCGAAACCGGTTTGGCTCAGTGGTAGAGCGTCGGTCTGGTCAAGGGCATGTATATTCGTTGTGGGCACATCCCCGGTTGGGGTATGCAAGAGGCAGCTGGTTGATGTTTCTCTCTCATTGACGTTTCTAGCTATCTCTCTCCCTTCCTCTCTGTAAAAAAATCAATAAAATATATTTTAAAATAAATATTTAAATTTTTCTGGTTAATTTCTGCCATATATATAAACCAATCTTTGGAGTCCTTCAGAATTTTCAAGAGTACAAAAGAGCTGCCCTGACTGGTTTGGCTCAGTGGATAGAACATCAGCCTGTGGACTGAAGGATCCCAGGTTCGATTCCAGTCAAGGGCATGTACCTTTGTTACAGGCACATACCCAATAGGGAGTGTGCAGGAGACAGCTGATTGATGTTTCTCTCTCATCAATGTTTCTAACTCTCTATTCCTCTTTCTTCCTCTCTATAAAAAAATCAATAAAATATTTTTTTAATTTTAAAAAGAGTGCAACATGTTTAAGAACTGGTCTAGCTAAATAAATTAATTCAGTCTTGTAAATACTTTTCAAAAAGCATTCATTCTCTCTCCTCCTCCTCCCCATTTAAAATGTGTTCACAAATTTCTTCCTCCTAACTATCCAATTATTCCCTCTATATTGTTTCTGGAATCCTTAGTGTAAGAAAATAAAAGTAAGCCCTTTAGAATTGTACTCTAATATAAACTATGCAAGCTTCAAAAACCTGTATTTAAAGACTATATTTAAAATCTTTAAGCTGGAATTGGATTCCCTTTTGGCTTTAATCTGCTTATTTTCATGCCTCAATCAGTAACAGTTTCTTCTCTCTCTCTCTCTCTCTCTCTCTCTCTCTCTCTCTCTCTCTCTCTCTCTCTCTCTCTCTCTTTCCTCAGAGAGGATGATTTAAAACATTTAACAAGACAGAAGGAAAAAGAAGATTCCAGCTACCCTACTGCCTTTACTAGATTACCTGACATTACTGTTATAACTACTATAGTTAACCAAAACCTTTTACAGAATCTTATAAATGGTGAACTTAAAGGTTCAGAGAGTGCAAGGAAATACAAAGATATGGCCACTTATCACAAAAATACACTCTTTCGAGACTCTGATTTTGGTCTTGCTATCTACGGCCAAAGACGCTTCCAAGTGTGCCGTGTGCCCGACCTCCAACTAGCCTTTTTTTGTGTTGTTTTCGCTTAAAGAAGCACATCTCCGTCAATTTCCAGAGCACCGCACCATTTTTCCTCTCAGGGTGCCAGGGTCTGGAACAGTAAAATTTGAGGGCATAACTTTCTGGTGGTCGCCATTTTTCCTCGCTCTTCCTTCACCACGTCTCTCTTAAGATCGGAGGTGTGTCAGTCAAAAGTCCTTGACGGCCCTCAAAGAGCAAAGCAGTGTCTTTCTAGGTTCTCTTCCCCCATCAAGAACCCCACCCATCATGAGAGAATTTCCCCTCAGCTGCCCCTCCCGCTGGGACACCAGAATCCTCATTCTCGCTCGGACCTCACTGCCCGCCACTAGGAAAGAACAGGTTACTTTGTTGGCTGGGGGTAAGGAGCAAGGGTAAGAGTTGTCACGCTGACGAGAAAACTCAGATGAAAGATCCCAAGATTAGCTGCGCCTCACACCTTCATCTATAACCAGATTAAAGACAGCTACCTTCTGGAGCGAGGAACAGAGAGACCTACTGCAACAATTCTGCAAGCCCCTCCATCCTCGTCTCACTTTTCCCGCCACCAAGCAAAGGCGCGAGGACACGCATAAGCTCCACAGTTCCCTCCAGCGGCGAAAGCTCAGTGCTGAGGCGCATGTGCAGTCAGGAGATGCGTTTGCGCTTGCGCAGCTGAATGTCGCCATCTTCCCCTTTAGCGCCCTGTAAAACTACAAATCCCATGATCCTAGATGGCCTCACTTTTTTTCTTTAGGCGTCCACAGCAGTGCCTGATCGTTAATGAACCACATCTTTTACTAACTTTTCTCTGCCCCCAAGTTGTCTTTTTCTTTTCGTTCCCTGATTCCAATTATTCCTTTTAGTCTCCTCCGCACCCGTATTTTAATATTTTGTTTGAGACTCTCCTCCCCATTCTCGCCTCTCCCACCCTCTGGGGTGCAAACAGGGTCCGCACCCCAGCATTGTTGGGAGGGAGAACGGGCCACCTTGCACCCAGTAAGATGGGCGTCGAGTAGCTTCCTCATTGGCCGAGGCAGGGGCAACCAAGCCTAAACCTCTTCCCCCACCCACACTCGTTTATCTTAAGGCGGCGCTCGGAAGGCTTGCTGGATGGTGGTAGTGGTGAATGGATTGCTATTGGTGGTTGCGGTGGGCATAGGGTCGCAGTCCTCGGGCTAGAGGGTCGAGCGCTGGAGTCCGGTGGGGTACGGGGGCGTTGGTATCGGGGCCTCGGGAGACGGAGGGAAGGGCGTGGTGTCCTCAGGTGATCGCGATTAGGGGAAGGCTGAGGAGCGAGAGGACTATTCGGCCATTTCGTTGGAAGAGGAAGTTGGACATCAGCTGTTTTAGTGCCTTTTTTTTTTTCCAGCTCAGCAGTGAACATTTTCCAGGGGGGTGAGTTAAAATGACTTATTGTATTTTATTGAGAACAGTTTGCAGGAAGACAGTACACACGCTCCTTCCTCTACTTTTAAGGTTCACCCCCTCGTTCCCCACGGCCCTTCTAGGTAGGTGGGCAAATGGAGACAACTAAGTCATGAATAATTCATGAGGGCCTACCCGCTCCTTAGCCACGCCCCTCCCAATCGTGCTAACGCACATTACGTGTACCAAACCTGGGGAAGCGACGTCACAGTCCCCGCCCCTAGGACGGCGGGCGGGGCACCACCAGCAGCACGTGCTGCAGCGACCCGCGCAAGCCCAAAAGGATGTGCGCAGGCGCTCCCCGCTAGGGGGAGGAAGGAGGCGGGGTGGGGAGGTTGTTGGGTTTAGAGCCGGGCGGAGACCGCTGAGACTCATTCCTCAGGAACAAGGGTCGGGTGTCAAGGAGACCTTTTCACACCAGCTCCCCGTCCCCGCCTACGGTGGGTGGGTTCGCGCGGCAGAGACAAAGGATATCAGTAGGGACGAACATAGCTGCGAAGGGAAGTAGGGTGTCAGCTTGGGGTGGTGGGCTTTGGGGGGGGGATTAAAGGGAGCTATATTTAAACTCCCGGAGCCGTTAAGTTGGTTCGTACTCGGATGCGCGCGCGACCAGGGTGGCGGCGGAGTGCGCATGCGTGATCCCGGGGCGACGGGGACGCGCTTCGCGGTGCGCGCTCGCGGCCGAGTGGCCGTGGCGGAGGAGAAAGGGGTCGGCGCACGCGCGGTGTGTTCCTGGAGTTCGGGTCTCGCGGGCATCTTGTTTTGGTCTCGTAGGCCAGGGGGCCGCGCTTCGGGGGAGGCGCCAGGGCGCGAGACTAGGCGAGAGGAGCTGCGCGCGCACCCAGGGAAGGGGGGAAGGGAGCGGGTGTAGGAAAGGGGGGGGTTAAGCCCCCTGGTCCACCCTCTCAGCCCTCGACTGGGACGGAATAAGGGGAGGAAATGATAGAGATGGCGGCGGAGAAGGAGCCGTTCCTGGTACCTGCCCCGCCGCCGCCGCTCAAAGAGGAGTCGGGCGGAGGGGGCAGCCCCTCGGTGCAGCCGCACCGAGAGCCCGCCTCCGGGGAGCTCCGCGGCGGTACGCAGCGTGGGCCTGGCTCGCGAGCACACGCCGCCGGGGTCTTGGCTTCTGGAGCGGGCAAGGAGAGCCCCGGGGCTACCGCCCAGCCTCGGGCCAGCCAGTCGCAGCAGCAGCGAGGGGGCGGCCTCCAGACGCAGGGGGAGGCCCGCTTGTCGGATCCCCACGGGCGAGCCGCTCCCCCGGACGTGGGGGAGGAGCGACGGGGAGGGGGTGGAACAGAACTGGGACCCCCTGCCCCGCCTCGACCCCGGAACGGCTATCAGCCCCACCGGCCCCCCGGGGGAGGTGGGGGCAAGAGGAGAAATAGCTGCAATGTCGGGGGAGGTGGTGGAGGCTTCAAACATCCGGCCTTCAAGAGGCGCAGGCGGGTTAATTCGGACTGTGACTCTGTGTTACCCTCCAACTTCCTCCTGGGGGGCAATATCTTTGATCCACTGAACCTGAATAGCCTCCTGGATGAGGAAGTGAGCCGCGCACTCAATGCTGAGACCCCTAAGTCATCCCCACTTCCGGCCAAGGGGCGAGATCCAGTGGAGATTCTCATCCCCAAAGATATTACTGATCCACTTAGTCTCAATACTTGCACTGATGAGGCCCAAGTAGTTCTTGCTTCACCACTCAAGACTGGTCGGAAGCGACATAGACACCGGGGACAGCATCACCAGCAGCAGCAGGCAACTGGAGGGACTGATAGCCACTCTGTGCTGCCCACAGCTCCCCCTACTCCCTCACTCCATGGGGAGGGCACCACACAGCAGCAACGGCATAGGGGCCAGAACCAAAACCGTGATGCCCCCGAGCCATATGAACTCAACACAGCCATCAACTGCAGGGATGAGGTCGTGTCTCCCCTTCCATCTGCCCTACCGAGACCCTCAGGCTCTCTCTCAGCCTCTTCAGCTGCCTCAATTGCCTCTGCACCCCCGTCTTCCTCCTCACGACATAGAAAACGGCGCAGGACTTCCAGCAAGTCAGAGGCAGGGGCTAGGAGTGGAGGAAGCCAGGGTCCCAAGGAAAAGGGCCGGGGGAGTGGGGGAGGCCGCCACCACCTCCACCCACTACCTGCAGCAGGTTTCAAAAAGCAACAGCGCAAGTTCCAGTATGGGAATTACTGCAAGTACTATGGGTACCGAAATCCTTCCTGTGAGGATGGGCGCCTTCGGGTGTTGAAGCCTGAGTGGTTTCAGGGTCGGGATGTCCTAGATCTGGGCTGCAATGTGGGCCATGTGACTCTGAGCATTGCCTGTAAGTGGGGCCCGTCCCGCATTGTAGGCCTGGATATCGATGCCCAACTCATCCACTCGGCCCGCCAAAACATCAGACACTACCTGTCAGAGGAGCTGCGACTGCAATCCCAGACTGCTGAGGGGGACCCAGGAGCAGAGAGTAAGGAAGGGACCACAACCATCCGAAAGAAGACCTGCTTCCCAGCCTCACTGACAGCAAGCCGGGGTCCCATTGCTGCACCCCAAGTGCCCTTGGATGGAGCAGACACAACAGTCTTCCCCAATAATGTTGTCTTCGTTACGGTAAGAGGGTCTTGGGATAGGGCCCAGGTGTAAGGATGAGATTAAATAATAATGTGACGGGAAGGTTATGAGCCAGAGAGATTTCTGTGTATGCAATCCACACCAGGAGAACCAGATCCTCAAGAGAAGGGTCTGAATCCACTGGGTGTCCCTATAACCTGGAAAGGTAGAAGCTCTACCTGGGCTCCTTTTTTGTGACTGCTAGCCCCAAAATGGGATTGGACCCCTTTGCCCTGCTCCCTACCTGGACTGTAATCCAGGCCAGTCCGCATTCTCCAGGGGGTTACTTCCGATGCTCACTAGGGGATTTGGTCCACATGAGAACTTGTCCTCTAACCTACTGAAGGTGCATGAAGAGATGGGTATCAGACATGGAATGTCTCAGGGTGGAGGGAGGATTAGGTAGGGTAGTGGCTAATATTTGCAGTTTCTCTCCATTGATAGGGACTTTGCCTTCAATAGAGGTGAAGAGTGTCAGTGGTCAGGAGCCCAAGTGGCTGGCCTTGGATCATCTCCACATTGACCCTAGATAATAGGATGGAGAAGAGTCAGAGTCCTCTGTGGGAGGGAGGGTAACATGTCGTCAGCATCTGTCCCCTGGCTGCCTGCACATAGCTCCTCCTAAAAACACTCCAATTTGGCCATCTCCAGGAGTAATGTTGGAAAATAGACTTTCCAGAGGGTGGTATTGAGTTTAGGAAAAATTTTCTAAGGGATGGATGGCCTCTTCGCTTCTCTGGAAAGAACAATCCTAAAACTTTGCCAGCCCCGCTGAAACCGGTTTGGCTCAGTGGATAGGGCGTCGGTCTGCGGACTGAAGGGTCCTAGGTTCAGTTCTGGTCAGGGGCATGTGCATTGATTGCGGGCATATCCCCGGTGGGGGGTGTGCAGGAGGCAGCTGATAGATGTTTCTCTCTCATCGATGTTTCTAGCTCTCTATCCCTCTTCCTTCCTCTCTGTAAAAAATCAAAATATGTATATATTTTTAAATAATAATAAAAATAATAAAACTTTGCCAGCCCCAACTACTGAGAAGGAATCACAGGTCTCCCTTTCAAATCTGGGTTAGGTCCCTTTGCATAACAGTCGCTGGGCTTAATGGACAGGGTCTTGGAGGAACTCTAGCATTCTTTCTCTGAAGTTTCACCCCAACTTTGGCGATCTTGTGGATGCTTTGCTCGAATTTAAATTAGCCAGGCTTCTTTTTGTTTTGTTTACCACCAATGGCATGCAAAAAAAGTGATACTGAGGGTATCAAAGATGATTGTGGCCCCGGGCTATAAAGTGAGGCTGCAGATTGAATGTGTGGGGCTCTTTTAATGCTGCTGTTGACCTCTCCCCTTCAGGGTAACTATGTGCTGGATCGAGATGAGCTGGTGGAGGCCCAAAAACCTGAGTATGACGTGGTGCTCTGCCTCAGCCTTACCAAGTGGGTACATCTGAACTGGGGAGACGAGGGACTGAAGCGCATGTTTCGACGGATCTACCGGCACCTACGCCCTGGGGGCATCTTGATCCTCGAACCCCAACCTTGGTCAACCTACGCCAAGAGAAAGACTCTCACAGTGAGTTGGTATTTAAGTGGAAATTGGGTATGTCCTTTAGTTGAGGCAAGAAATACCCCCAGAGAAGTGAAAAGAGGACTTTCTGAACAAGGTGAAAAGATCTCCTGGGTGGGCATCATTCTCTAGCAAGGGAGAAGGCAGCAAGGTGAAGTGGTTCCCTGCTCTTCTCCTTAGGAAACAACCTACAAGAACTATTATCGGATCCAGCTGAAGCCAGAGCAGTTCAGTTCCTACCTGACATCCCCAGAAGTGGGCTTTTCCAGCTACGAGCTTGTGGCCACACCCCACAACACCTTCAAAGGTAAGTCTGGCTTATTTTGGGGGGGGGGGGGGGGGGAAGACCAGTCCTGAGGGAGAAGGTACAGACTCTGTGGAGTCTTGAGGTCCTGCCCATCCCTCCTGATTGCACACTCTCCTCTTAGGCTTCCAGCGTCCTGTGTACCTGTTCCACAAGGCCCGTTCCCCCAGCCACTAAGTGGCCCCTGATCAGAAAGTGTGAAGAAGCTGCCGCTGCTCTTAAGGACCTGGGGAAAGAAAATACCCCGCAGTCTTTCCTTTCTGGCTCCAAAAGTTTCCTTTCTTGGATCTGCATAGAAAGCTTTTCCTGTGTTGCTGCCCCAGCCTCCTCCCTACACCTCTGATACCTAAGCAGCAAGCCCAGCTGTTCTGGAGTTACGGCCATCTTCCTCTTCCCCCAGCCCACTGGCTGGATGGCATGGACTGTTTGCTGACCTCTGTTCTCCTAGGGCACAGGAGGTGGGGGATTATCACGTTCTCTGGCCTCTTCCTCCTGTCCTTCCAAGGAGAAATTCCCGTTCTCCTCAGCCCTTGTCCCTACCTACGTTTCAGTGGACCACATGATAGATGGACTGAGGCTTAAGGGGGGAAGCTTGATGGGGAGGCATGCAGGTACTGTGAAAATCCCTCTGCTGTCCCCCATTGGGAGAAGGTTGGGTTTGGAATGTAAGAACAGCACAATAAACTTGATGTTTAGGGCAATGGCCCACACACCTATGTCTAGCACTTTTTGTTTTATATATATATTTGATTGATTTTAGAGAGAGGGAGAGAAACATCAATGATGAGAATCATTGATTGGCTTGCTTCCTTCACACCCTGCATTGGGAATCAATCCTGCAACCCAGGCATATACCCTGACCGGGAATTGAACAGTGACCTCTTGGTTCATAGGTCAATGCTCAACCATGGGGCCACACAGGCCAGGCTGGCACGTTTTAACTGGTGGGAAGGGATGGTGCCTCCTAGTACAACCTGTGCTTCCTCTGTCTAAACTCTCATTTTCAATGATTGGGAAGACATTTTTTTTATATATATTTTATTGAGTTTTTACAGAGAGGAAGAGAGGGATAGAGTTAGAAACATCGATGAGAAACATCCATCAGCTGCCTCTTGCACACCCCCTACTGGGATGTGCCTACAACCAAGGTACATGCCCTTGACGGAATTGAACCTGGGACCTTTCAGTCCAAAGGCTGAAGCTCTATCCACTGAGCCAAACCGGTTTCAGCTAAAATGCAAATTTTGATGTGAAACTTGAAGAGCCTGCCTATCTCCCGTCCTCCCCCCACAAAAACAAAAACATTCACACAGTTGTTTTTTTATGGAAGCTTTGGCAGAGGCTAACTTTGGAATTTAACAGTAGAGTTGAAGTGGAGCTAGAAAGAGTTTGGATTGGACCGACTCCCTGTTCTAGAACTTCCCTACCTTCCAACCTCTTTTTTTTTTTTTTTTAATATATTTTGATTTTTCACAGAGAGGAAGAGAGAGGGATAGAGTTAGAAACATCGATGAGAATCATCCACCAGCTGCCTCCTGCACACCCCCTACTGGGGATGTGCCCGCAACCAAGGTACATGCCCTTGACCGGAATTGAACCCGGGACCTTTCAGTCCGCAGGCCGACACTCCATCCACTGAGCCAAACCGGTCCCGGCCCAACCTCTATCTGTGGAACCAGATTAATAGGCAGTTTAACTTAACATGTAGCTATTCAACGGTTTGAGTACTCTGATGAGGTGTAAAGATGGGCAAGGCCCTTGAAGGTAAAAGGAGATAATTTAAATAACTAAATGCTAGTACCCTGTTTCCCCGAAAATAAGATAGTGTATTAATTTTTTCTCCCAAAGTTGCGCTAGTCTTATTTTCAGAGGATGTCTTATTTTCGGGGAAACACGGTAGCTGCCTTACCAGATTCCTTGAGTCAGGTAACATGCAGGCTGAGAACCTCATAAAGTGATCAGAAATAAGTGGTGCAAAGAAACAAGTGTAGTGTCATAAAAAAACAAAGGTGGTAGGTGTGACGGCAATCAGGAAGATGTGGAGAGGAGGGAACCTAAACCCCTGACTTGGCTCTAGCTAGTGTGGCTCTCAGGGTTGGAGACTCCTACACTGAAAGGTTGTGAGTTCATTCCCAATCAGGCGTTTACTAGAGGCAACCAGTCGAATGTTTCTCCTATCCTCTCTAAAAATCAATAAACATCCTAAGGTGAGGATTAAAAGAAAAAAACTAGCCCTGGCCGGTTTGGCTCAGTAGATAGAGCTTCAGCCTATCCATCTGGTCAGGGGCATGTACCTTGATTGTGGGTACATCCCCAGTAGGGGGTGTGCAGGAGGCAGCTCATTGATGTTTCTAACTTATCTCCCACTCCCTTCCTCTCTGTAAAAAAAAAATTAAAAAAATCAAGATTTTAAAAACAGAAAAGCAAAAAAACTAAACTTTTTACTTGGACCAGTGGGGTTTTTTTTGTGTGTGTGTTTTTTTTAAATATATTTTATTGATTTTTTTTTTACAGAGAGGAAGGGAGAGAGAGAGAGCTAGAAACTGATGAGAAACATCTACAGCTGCCTCTTGTGCACCCCCTACTGGGGATGTGCCCGCAATCAATGTACATGCCCTTGACCGGAATCAAACCTGGGACCCTTCAGTCCGCAGACCAGCGCTCTACCACTGAGCCAAACCGGCTTCGGCTGGACCAGTGCTTTCTACTGGTCATTATGGAGTTTCTTAAAGAAGGGGCCAAAACACTTGACTTTCAGGCAGCTTCTAACCTACGGCTTTCCATCTTAAGCCTTCCAAGAAAAGTCCCATTTGTTAGCAATACCACTTTATTATGTTACTTTCAACACAAAAATACGAGCAATTCCGGGAGCCTCCTGGTCTACACTTCCCATCGCCTTAGTGTTCGGTGCATGAGGAAGGTGTCCTCTGAAGGGCGGGGCCGGAGTTGAAGGCGGAGAGAGGGCAGACTGTCCAGGTTCAGGTGTGGAAATTCATAAAATAATGTTTCTGGGTCACACAGCATAGTCATGTCCGGCCCTGGCCCAGGTGGCTCCTGTTGGAATGGAGTCCAAAGCAAGGTTACACTAGGAGAGGGAAGAATCCGCAGCGGAGAAGGGAAGGGAACAAGGGAGGGGACTCAAGCCCCGTCCCTCACCTTTGGAGGCGGGGCTCGGGCCTGCGGCGGCAGGAGCGCCAACTTCTCCCTCAGCGCGGCGTTCAGAACCTGCTCCTCGGGCACCTGCAGGCTCACCAGGTCCCGGAAGAGCCGCTTGGAGCGCGGCACGTTCAGTCCTGAGGCCGCAGGGGGAGCGGAGGTGAGCCGCGTCTCTCACCCCGACTCCCGCGCCCGCTCTGCCATCTGCCCGCCCTCACCCTCGGCCACGCTCTCCTCCAGCACACAGCGGGTCTGGAACGATTTTCTCAGCTGTTCCTCCACGGCCTTCGCGGCATCGAAGGGGCCCGCGGCTGCGGCCCGCGCCGCCTGCAGCTCTAGGCCCAGCGCCAGGCTGCTGTGCGGCGCGGGCGCAGCCAGGTCCTGCGCCGCCGCGGGCTTCGCGCTCGGCGCGGCCGGGACCGGCAGCGGCTGGGACCGGACCGGGGAGGACGGCGCCAGGCGGAAACGGACCTGGGAGCAGAGAGCAGGGCGGTGAGGAACGGGGACCCGGGCGGTGGGGGGCTGCCGGCCAGGCCTTCCGCCAGCTCACCTGCCGCTCCTTGCGGGCCCCGCCCCTCCGGTTTGCCCGCCCCTTCCCGCGCCCCGGGCTGCAGTTCGGCTGCTCGGGGCTCTCGGACCGCGAGCTCAGGCTCAGGCTGAGATCCAGGCCGGGCTCGGGCACGGGAGCTCCGGGCTCCGGGGAGCAGGGTTCCGGGGGTGGCCCCGGGGCCGCAATGGCCGCCTCCCGTTCTCCCGAGTTCAGCTCTGACTCCTCGCAGCCCATCATCCTGGAGCGGCTGCGGGGCACTCGGTCACTGGGGGGCGGAGGCTGAGCACCCCTCCCAGCCCTTCCCCGATATCGCGACCGGAAACCGTTAGCCCGGCCCAGGTGGGCGGGAGCCACCCTCGCCCCGCCCTGGGACGCTCCGCAGCGTCATTTTGTCGCTCCTCCCCCGGCTCCCGGCGGGCTCTCGCGGGCTGACCTCCGCCCCGCCCCCAGGCCGGGGTTTTAGAGCCGAAGCCGGGGAAGCGCTACGGGTCCTCATCAGTGCCATTTCTCCTTTCGCAATCTCCGTCATGGCGCCCTGTCCCGGCGGACTCTTCACCTGGAGTCCGGAGTATGTCAGTCTCAGTCCTCCTGTCGGGTGCCAAATGGGGCAGCTTTAACTTCACTGCCCAGCGTCCTCGCATTGGGCCCCTATCTCCAGGCTTTCCGTCGCCTCCGCGCTCGGACCAGAGCCGCCCTGTTTGAGTGAGGGCCTCCTGCTCCCTCCTGGCACTCTGGTGCTAGTGGTTGCTTGAGCATTCACTGGCTCACGCAGCCTTGAGGCTTTCGTTACTTTTTTCTTTTCCAGGGTCTCCTAAAATGCTCATTTCTATAAAAATAGGTATTTATAGGTTGAGTACAGTTTTTATTTTTTGCAGTTTAAAAGGTCTCACACATTTATTACTGAACCAACCTACTACTGCAGAGGAAAAAATCAACAGATTTTTCATGAGTCTAATAATTTTCCAATTAAAATGCCCCAACTGCCCAGACAGTAGAGATCTTTTTCAATCATTTAAAGGTGCAGGCAGCCTGGATGCAGCATAAATATGTGAGTTCTCATGTGTGATTCCTCATAAACCCATTTTAGTACTTCTCCACTGTCTCTTCGAGTTGTACCTGATTTTATTACTAATTTTCATCAGAATCCCTTGGGGAAATGAGCCGATTCTGCTTTTGTTTCTTGGCCAAGATCTGAAAGTCTTGTGGGAAGACATGAAAGGAGAAGCAAACTGCACACACCTCGATGGTGGAAAAAGAGAGAGAAGGCTTGAGTACAGTTTTTAAAAAAGGAGCTTGGTGGATTTATCAGACCCTTGGACTGCAAGGCAGATGACTCTGGAGCCCTTGCTTATTCCCTACTTACCTTGGGCAGGTCCTCTCAACTCTGTGAGCCTCTGTCTTGTGTTCAATGTACTAAATTGGATCTAGGACTCAAGGTTCTCCCAAAAGTGGGTCAATATAAGGAAACAGGCATGTTTGTGTACCACTTTTTTGTTGTTAAACTTGGATTTTTTAAAAATATATATATTTCATTGATTTTCACAGAGAGAAAGGGAGATGAATAGAGTTAGAAACACCAATGAGAGAGAAAAATCAATCAGCTGCCTCCTGCACACTCCCTACTGAGAATGTGCCTGCAAGCAAGGTACATACCCTTGACTGGAATCGAACCTGGGACCCTTCAGTCCGCAGGTCGATGCTCTATCCACTGAGCCAAACAGGTTAGGGCTGTGTACCACTTTTCACATCCTTTATCTTCCTAAGAAATGGTGTGGAAGAACAGATAGAATGGATATGTTGCCTTCATTTCACAAAAAAAAGTTTTTGAGGATCTTAATGGCGAAACACCAATGACTTTCGTGTTAAAGTTGGGAATAAGAAAGTATGCCCCCCCCCAAAAAAAATCAATAAAATATATTTAAAAAAATTTTTTTAATAAAATCTGAAAAAAAAAATAGAAAACAAAAAGCTGATGGATATCCCTATATACAGTGTAGTTACCATTTTTGTAAAAAAATAACCAAAGCTAAATTAATGAATAAGAGTACCAAATGTTACATCATTAAAAATTGACTGGATTTCCTATGCATTAATCTGAACATAATTTCCTTATATATTATGTTCATGTAGCTGAGTTTGTAATTTTTGTTAACTAGACCAAGTTGTCAGTAGTTGCTGGTGTAAGTTAACATTGCATTTATCCTAAGTTGAGTTTAAGCCAAATATGCACAGGAAAGCATCCTCCCGTTAATGGAAGTTGATTTTCAGGATGTATTAATTTCAATGTTTGCACATTTAACTTTTATTAAATAAAGTGTTTTTAAAATCTCAAAAAAAAAAAAAAAGAAAAGTATGCCCATTTCCTCTACTTTTTTTTTAAATTTCAGAAAGGAAGAGTGAGGAAGAGAGAGATCAAACATCAATGATGAAAGAGAAACATTGATGGGCTGCCTCCTGCACGCCCCCCATTGGGGGTCAAGCCCACAACCCAGGCATGTGCCCTTGACCAGAATCAAACCCAGGACCCTCAAGTCTACAGGCCTACGCTCTATCCACTGAGTCAAACCAACTAGGGCTCTCTGTACTCTTTATTTGTAAAAGGGAGTAGGGAGGTACAAATGTAAATAAATAAATACTTTTTTTTTTAAGTGGAAGTATACATTTAAATTTTTTAATAGTTATTTACCTTGGAAAGGAGAGGATAGAATGAAATAAGACTTGAATATACTTTGTGCATTTGACTTCTGAAATCTATGTTTTACATGATTGTATGATTAACATAATTTTTTAAAAAGTCAATCCCAAAAAGCAAGAACAAATGAACCTAAGTATAACTAGTTGGTGGCACAGAAAGGAACTCTTCTGAATGACTTCAAAACACACTGATATAACTATACATCCAAAGATCTACCCAAAAGATAAAATTAACTGCCAGCCTAGCCTGCTTGGCTCAGTAGATAGAGAGCATGGGTCTGTGGACTAAAGGGTCCCTGGTTCAATTCAGGTCAAGGGTGTGTACTGGGTTGCCAGCTCCTCCCTGCCTAGGCCATAGTCAAGGGTATGTGCAATCAATATTTCTTTCTGTCTTTCCTTCTCTCTTTCACTCTCTATAAAAATCAATGGGAAAATATTCTCAGGTGAGGCTTTAAGAAAAAAAAAGTGATGAAGATGGATTATGGTGATAGTTGCACATTATGAATATATTTAATAACACAAATATATACTTAAAAATGGTTAAGATGTTAAATCTTATGCATACTTTACCACAATAAAAAAAAATGGGAAGGAATAATTATGTAGATTTGTATTATAACAGGAAAAATATGCAAATCTAAAAATCAGTGATTTTTGCAAATTCCCTGTGGTCTCGATTTAATTAGGAAGTAACTATATGAAGTCATGGCATATTTTAAATTAAAAAGCATATCCTGTGCCCTATCCAGTTTGGCTCAATGGATAGAGTGGCGGCCTGCAGACTGAAAGGTCCCAGGTACATGCCCAAGTTGTGGGTTTGATTCCCAGTAGAGGGCATGCAGGAGGCAGCCAATCAATGACTCACTCTCATCATTGATATTTCTATCTCTCTCCTCCTCTCCCTTATTCTTTGAAATAAAATAAAAATAAAAAGCACGCCCTATCCTGACAGGGTGGCTCAATTGATTGGAGAATCGTCCCATGCAACCAAAAGGCTGTGGGTTTGATTCCCAGTCAGGACACATACCTAGGTTTCAGGTTCAACTCCTAGTCCAGGCGTGTACAGCAGGCAGCCCATTGATGTTTCTCTCTCCCCTCCTTTCTCTCTAAAATCAGTGAACAGCCCTGGCTGGTTTGGCTCAATGGATAGTGTCAACTCATGGACTGAAGGGTCCCAGATTTGATTCTGGTCAAGGGCACATGCCGAGGTTGTGGGCTCCGGCCCCAGTTGGGGGTGTGCAGGAGGCAGCCAATCAATGATTCTCTTTCATCATTGATGTTTCTATCTTTCCCTCTCCCTTCTTCTCTGAAATCAATTTTTAAAAATACTTTAAAAATGAGTTTATCGCTGAAACCGGTTTGGCTCAGTGGTAGAGCGTCAGCCTGCAGACTGAAAGGTCCCAGGTTCGATTCCGGTCAGGGGCATGTACATTGGTTGTGGGCACATCCCCGGTAGGGGGTGTGCAGGAGGCAGCTGGTCGATGTTTCTCTCTCATCAATGTTTCTAGCTCTCTATCTCTCTCCCTTCCTCTCTGTAAAAAATCAATAAAATATATTTTTTTAAAAATAAAATCAATGAACATATCCTCAAGTGAGGATATTTTTTAAAGTATATCCTAATTCTGTCCACTGAAAAACCCTTAGAAACAATGATGGACTCAATAAGCACTACTAGCCCCCAGTTTGTGGTAACTAATTCCATATAAGCATTTTAATATCTATACACAAGTGTTCATAGCAGCTTTATTCATAATAGCCAAAAACTGGGAATAATTCAAATTCCTTCAGCAGGCATAGGGTTAAACTATGGTACTTCTATATTATAGAATACTACTCAGAGGCAGGAGCAAACTGTTGATATATCCAACAACATGGATGAGTTGCTAGGTTATACTGGGAAAGAAAAACCCAGTCCAAAAACTTATATACCATGTGGTTTCATTTATATAACGTTTTAGAAGTGACAAAAGTTTTGTAATGGAAGACAGATTTAGTGGTTGCCCAATGGTAGGGACTAAGTGGAAGAGTGACATGGTGTAGTCATAAAAGGGCAATTCCAAGGATCTTTTGGTATTGGAACTATTTCCTTTATTGTCATGGAAATAGGACCCCACACTGGTTATAACATTTTACAGAACTTAATGCATACAGATGCAAAAATCAGTACAACACTGAGAAATATGAATCACATTGGTGGATTACATTAATGAATGTCAATATCCTGGTTGTGACAGTATATAATATAGTTTGCAAAATATTACTGTTTTAGTCTATTCCTGTTGTTATAACAGAATACCATAGACTGGGTGGCTGTAAGCAACAGAAATTTATTCCTCACAGTTCTGAAGGCAGGGAAGTCCAAGATCAAGGCATTAGCAGATTCATTGTCTGAGGAGACCCTACTTCCTGGTCCACCATGGCTGAGTCCTCACATGGTGGAAGGGGGCAAGGGCGCTCTCTGGAGCCTCTTTTATAATGGCACCAAACACCTCCCAAAGGCCTATCTCCAAATACCAACACAGAGGATTAGCTTTCAACATACG